CTTGGTTTTTAAACAGGAACTTGAAAGGAGGTACTCTGCATGGATAGATAGCTCTGCTCCCAGAAGTCATAGATTTTTAAACCAAAATTCCAGTGCCAGGTGTAGGATGCTTCAGTACAAGCTGTTGGCCAGGGAGCCCCTCGGAGGTTCCCGAAACACTGCAAGCTATTGTCATTGTTCTTGGCTGTCCACCAGAACTACATGATAAGACCCTGTTGGTGAAGACAGCACATACTTTGGCTACAGGATAGAAATATATCAAGCTGGAACTAAGTTGGACGCTTCCTCCCTGCTAGCTAGCTTTCATAGCATTGAAAAGTGCTATGCAGGCTAGCCGGGGAGAAAAGCCATCAATGATCACACCCAGCTGTATACCCTGAGTGCTACAATGCTGAACTGCTTAGAAGATATGCCCACTGGTACAATAGCTGCATGAATGTTCCAGGGGTAACCAGCCCCCCTTGATTATATTTGAGGGCTGCTGCACAAGAGGAAATACATGCTTGATACCGTAGACCTAGTCAAAAGCCTGTGGCCAAGGCTGTCACAGACCCTATGTGAACTCTACTCATATTTTGCTAAATGGACATTGTTCCATATGGAAAATGATCCATGAGAGTTGTGTGTTCAGGTTCACTGATTTCAATGGTTGAGTTTATTATGTATGCAGCAAGTGGGAGGAAAATAATTAAAATAGCAAGCAGCAGAAACATAGTAGAGTATCAGCTCAGACACATACACCATCCATGTGCGTGCTGGGAATAGGGTCCTCTACAAGAGCAGCCAGCGCTCTTAAAATGCTGAATCATCTCTCCAGCCCCTGGAAATAAATATTTAAATAAATTCCTAAAGGTAAAACATGAATGCTTATGAAAAGAATTCCTATCCTGCTCAAGTTCCTTCTCATAGAATCTGCTCCTGCCCACCCCCAGCCATCATCACACATACCCAGTCCTGATCACACTTGATTAGATTAGGAAGAGCACCAGACTCAATAATGCCCTTTCCAGAACACTGAAACAGGACTTCATGACACTAAGGTGTGCTCATTCAGAAGAGAAACGGGCTCTTCTGTGTCTCAGGAAATAGGCAACTTGTGTGGCTATGTGCTGTGTATGGTAGAGCCTGAGAGCCACAGGTCACCTGGCTCCTGTACCTTACAAAGTGTAACAGGTCATCTTCTCTTTGGAGTCAGTGATGCCTGAACCTTAATATACATTTTGAACAAAGAGGATGAATACTGTTTCCTCCAAATTCATGTGCACCTGGAATGTAACTTTACTTTAGCAGTGTCTTGCAGAAGTAACTAGATAGCATGAGGTTATACTGGATTACAGTAATCCTGAATCTAATGCTTGATGTCTTAGACTAAAAGAGACCACAGACACACAAAAAAGACAGCTATGTGAAGATTAAGGCAGGGACTAGTTATGTTGCCACAAACCAAGGAATACCTAGGACCCCCGATTTAAGTAAAGACTTTTCTCTTGAGTTTTAGAGAGCTCGTGATCCTGCCAACACCCTAATTTCACATTTCTAACTTCTAGAACTGTGAGGGAATAAGATGCTGTTGTGTTAAGCCACTTTGTGATACTCTGCTATGGTCCTAGGAAATTAACATATGTGGCTTGTTTCTTGCAATCGAACACGCATGACTAAGATGCCTTTGTACTGACAAAACATATTTGAAAGATTTAGACCAGTGATTCTCCAAATAGGGCCAGTGGAGAGTATGTCACTGGGAGTGGGCTTAGAGAGTTCTTAAGCCTTGTGGGATTTCCAGTTGGCTCTACATCCTGTGACTGCTTCAAGATGTAAGCACTCGGCTTTCTACTCTGCCCACCTCTGCCGCCCTGCCTCTGAGCCATGGTGGACTCTTGCCCCTTTAGAATACGGACTCTTGCCCCTTTAGAACCAAAGGCTAAATAAACTTTTCCTTCTATAAGTTGCCTTGGCCATGGTTTCTTATCACAGCAACAGAAAAGTAACTAATATGCCAGTCTTGGGTGTGGTTAGTCATTCTAACAGGGAGCAGTGATTCATCATTGCGGTTTTCAGGTGTATTTCTCAACAGGCTAACAATGAATATATTCTGTGTTGTCTATATGCTATTTGTATGTCTTCTTTAGTGGAATATCTGTTCATATGTTTTGTATATTTTCTAATTGAATTTGTGTGCAGGTATAGGTGTGTATACATGTGTGCAGGTGCATGTGTACATGTGTGCATGTGGAGGCAAGAGGTCAATGCTGAGTGTCTTCCTTAATTGCGCTCCACCTTATTTTGGGGACAGAGTCTCTCACTGAACTTGGAACTCAGTGACTCAGCTAGACTGGCTGGCCAGCAAAGCACAGGGCTCCTCCCATCTCCAGCTCCCTAGCACCAGAATTATAGGTGCATGCTGCATCATCAGCTTTTTAAAAAATATGGATGCTGAGGATCCAAACTGAGGTCTTCATGCTTATGTGGCAAGTATTTTACTGACTGAGTCATCTCCCAGTCAGTCCCCTAGTTAGATTTTTTTTTACCTGTGAAGTTTTGAGCATTTTATCTATCTATATTCTAGATATTTGTTTTCTCTCAGTATATGGTTTGCAAATATTTCCTCCCTGCCCATAGCTTATCTTTTACCCTATCATCAGAGTCTCATAGAATAAAAATTTATAATGTATATATCTCAGTTTGGGGGAAATTGGCATCTTTATTAAGTGTGATATTCCAGTCCATGACCATGGTGTGTCTCTCCATCTGCTTATTTGATGTCTTTCAGCAATGTTCTATAGTTCTTGAAGTTAGACTACATGCATTTTGCTAAATGTACATATGTTTGTTTATTGAGTAACTGCAAGCAACTAGTATTGCTTTTTAAAATTTTGGTGTCTCTGTGTCATTGTTGGTACGTAGACATACAACTGAATTCTGTGTTTATCTTGTGTTTGCCATTCTGAGCTTTGATAAACTCAGAAGTTCTAGGAATTTTATTGAGTTTTTTGTTTTGTTTTTGCTGTTTTGGTGTTTTTGTGCATGGACAATCATGTCATCTGCAAGTAGAGGCAGTCTTACCTCTTTCCTGTTTTCTTATGTTGTTTTTTCCTTTCCTTGTCTTAAGTTTATAGTGCTGAGTAGAACTTTAATAATAAAGATTGAGATTGTGCTATGATTCATATGTATGTAACTGAATAATTCTTATTCTTCTGAAAATTAGCTTTGCTTTACTGATTCACCCAAGCTGATGTTTTCAAAGCTTGATACTTTTTAAAGTCCTCCATACTGGATGTGTTCCAATTTTACCCTGACAAATTTATGTGAATTCTCTTCTGTCTTCCTGCTACAGTGGCATTGAAGGCCCATTAAGGGAAACCTGTTGCCTCCTGGTCAAAAGTACAGAATCTACCTCTGGGTAAAGACATGCCTTTGTCTCCTTCCTTAATAGTTAATCCAGGGCCAAACATGGTGGCACAGGCCAGCATTCAGGGGGCAAAGACAGGCTGATCTCCATGAGTTCAAGGCCAGCTGTGTCTACACAGCGAGTTCCATGCTGGTCAGGGGTGCATAGTGAGACATAACTTTTCCTTTTTCTTCTCCGTTTCTTTCAGATGCTGGTAGGAGCCTGAGTAATCTTTGGCACTCTGGCTTTTTCCACTCTTTCTCTAAAGCTCCTGTGCCATGTGGCCACTGACCCACCATGAGTCTGACCTTCACATTGGCTTACTCAGCCAGAATGCTTTCTCTTCTTTTCTTCTTCTTTCTCTGGGCAGCTGCCAAGTTTTACAGCTTGTCTGTCCTGGAGTTTTTCTTTTAAAATCTAGTAAAATTGTTCTCCAGCTTCTTTTTAAACCCATTCTTAAATTCTTTTATTAACGAGACTAGGAACTCCAGGGGACCCCATTTTCCCCAGCTATCACTCCTCTATGCTCTGGGAAGCTGACGTTCAAGACCACTCAACACTCTCCCTCAATCTGAATTTGAATTACCTGAGCCAGTTGAGATCCCAGCAGATTACAGACAGAGCAGAAAAAAAACCAGGTTACTAATGCCACTAACCCCATCACTACTGTGTCACCAGGATCAGTTGCAATCCTCCAGAACAGTCCACAGATCCTACCAGCAGCCACACAGCTTTCCTCCAGATTCTTTAACTGCTTCCTCCCTTCTCCCTTTCACTGGGCCCCAGAGTACTACCATCCCCTTGTGGCTTCCCTATCCTTTGCCCATACCTTAAACTCTCCTCAAATTATCCAGTTTGAGTGAGCCATCTGCTTCCTTCCAGGACATTGAGCCATCACATAAATGGTATATTTCCAAGTCCCAAATACCACACAAATATTGTCAGTTGTCACAAAGCAATAATCATTTATTATTTTGTTTTTAGGAAAGTCATTTACAGATGTGTGTAGGCAAATGGAGCTCCACCTTAATATAGGTGAGGATGAGAATGTGAGGTGAAGTAGCATGCAGGCATTTCTTGTGTCGCTTTGTTCTGTGTGAACAGGACCTGTAGTATCTGTAAGCACAGCATTTGCTGATCAAGCTGCTGCACCATGTCAGTGCAAGGCCGACTACCTGTGTACACTGTCCATGTCATTTATGCTCTCTGTATCTGGAACACTCAGTCAGGAGACCACAGTCCTACCCTGTCTGTGATAGAGGGGGTTATATTACCTACAAATTCCTATTACCATGCTAATCCCTTTTATGAAGAAAATGATCAAGACCTAAGGTGGATAGAAAAAAAAAGATGAAAAATACATTATTTTCTAGTTGTGAAGAAGAAAATAAACCTACCTAAGAAACCAGCAGCAGCATAAATAAAGTTGTAAGCTGTTAGGTTAAAAAATATGAGTTCAAGCCTGATATGGTGCATGCTTTAATCCCAGCACTCAGGAGGCAAAGACAGGCAGATCTCTGTGAGAGCAAGGCCAGCCTGATCTACACAGTGAGTTCCAGGCCAGCTGAGGCTACAGGGAGACCCTATCTTAAAAAGACAAAAAAAAAAAAAAAAGAAAGTTCACTGTACTTGGTTTCTGATGACTTCCAAAAAGTAAAACTTACCAAATGTATCTTTTGTATCTACTTGGCCAAACTGAAGTGGAATTAAGAAAGCTGTCCAGAAAACTCAGGACTGAAAACAAACAAACCACATACTCTACAGTAATGATGGCCATAGCTTTATATGTAAAAGGCAAGTAAGGACTAACGCATTTTCTGCTATTCAAAGCAACCCAAATCTACTGCACCAACATTACTTGTTTTCTAATGAAAGGTTTGGAGTCAAACTGTGTGACTGTTGATCTTGGTTATGCCCTTTATTCTTAGAGCACAAACATAGACTAAAAGGGAAATGCTTACATTTTTAACCATAACTACAGACTGCTTGTCAATATTAACCTCTCTAATACAGGAAAAACTTGCTTCATATAGACTCACACTATGTTAAGATGGCAATGAGCCTCTGGATGCACCTAGCTAACCTCCCTCATTTTGCTGTCAAGAAAACTGGAATCATGACACATTTAGCAACCTGCTAAAAGTCACAGTGACAAATAGCCTCTACCTACTGCTTCTTCCACAGTTCTTAATTACACTGCGGGTTTAGCAGTTGGGCTAAATGTGGCAGGTCTTCCCAAGCACTTCACCCCATATTTTTCTCACTTCCGTATTTTGTCTGATCGTACGCAGAAAGGGTGATAAGACACATACAGGTGTTAGACTGGGATCCAGTGGCAGCCAATGAAAAGAAAAGTTTCCTATACTTTAGTTTCTGTACTCTCAGTAAGAATGGAACCAGTGTAGACACTGAATATGATGATACTAGTTTTGTTTGTCACAGTTTGTTCTGTACTCAGGAGCTTTTTAAAATAAAGGCTGGAAGAATGTGACAGAATCAGAAGTGACCAACAGGTTTGTCCTCTTCAGCTTATCACATGTTGCAGATGAATAGCCCAAATACAAAGAATGAAGAACACTGGCCAATGAATTTGGGCCTCGACCTTTTAACCAACAAATGGGTTAGAATAATGAAACAGACCAATACTTTCAGTGGCTTTTGATTCGATCCACTGGCACAGACACAGCCCGAATTCAACGTCAGTATCATATTTAACAATATAGAGGAAAAAGTGATACTAAACAGAAAATGTAATTAAGTCAACACTGTTGATCAAATTGCTTCTTCTTGCTTTTTCAGGAAGGAAAAACCTTTTGGCAAATGGTTCTGCAGTTAGAATATGAAGACACTTAGAATTAATCTCCCCATATGAAAATGTCCCCAGATTATCAAGTTGAAAGGCACATTCCACTGCCCCAGCAGTTCAAGTTGTCTTTAGCATGTGAAATTTGAGTTGTGCTTTTAGCTTTTTATCAATGCAGTGTGACTTTAAAAAGTGACCTCCGTGCACATGTATAACAACTTCTTTTCAAATGGACCAAACTTCATCTTCTGACTTCATTTTCTGAAGATAGGCTATTTGTTCCTTGTTTAGTAAAAGGCCTAGTCTGTAGTGGTCTCAGAAAGACACATTTCAGTTTGTGCTCTGTTCTCTAGAGAAAAGATTTGCCTTGTCTCGGTGTCCTAACACAATATTCTCCCCATACCACTGTGATGGCACTTCAATGTTGTCATTTCTTGGAGTGTGAAAGTCCTGGGTTATTATCCTTTCTTACTGGTTGCTTAAGGTTTACTTCACTTACAGAGGAGATGATTGGCAGACTGTTATCCATATGGTATCTGATAAGGTGGCCAACATCATCAAATACATGATCCTTGGTCCTCACCTGGAAAAGGAAGAACAAATATATTTAGGTTGAATAACAGCAGTTCTTCTGAAAGATGTAAGCAATTGGGGGGAGGCAATATATATCCCCAGTGTAGATATTTTGCTGAATAAAGAAAAGGTGCTTTTCAACTCTGTTTCTTTTCTTTTCTTTTCTTTTCTTTTTTTTTTTTTTTTTTTTTTTTTTTGGGGTGCCCCTGCAGCCCCAGCTGGCCTGGAACTCACTGTGTAGACCAGGCTACCCTTGAACTCACAGAGATCTGCCTGCCTCTGCCTCCCAAGTGCTGGGATTAAAGGCGTGTGCCACTACGCCCGGCTAACTCTATGTTTCTTAGTAAACAATTTTATGGTTACCCATTGTCCTTTCACAGTATTCATCCCTATAAGTTAGGAAAACAGTAAGCACGTAACGAATTCGAATCTGCAGTCAGCCTCTTTGCAGTGCTGTTGCTTGGTATATTCTATCATATTTAACTGATTTGTATGCAGGCGCATTCTCAGGATTATAATTATCTTCCATAGACTAGAATGTTTCACATTACCCCATCTGTATGGAAAGCAGGCCCCTTGGAAAAGCCCTACCCATCTCTCCTCAGAGCCTCAACACAAATCCATCTCCTCCAGTAAGGCTTCTCAGACCTTCCTAACAGGTATTCCTGTCTCCTCCCTGTAAACTACATAAACAGCAGCTGATTCAAAAATATTTGCTACGTGGAATTCACTGCATAGAGAAGGAAATGAATTTTCCCTTCGTGGAATTTCCTCCTAGTATTGTCATATACTTAGCCTATGCATGACAGAAGGCACACCTTACTATCTATTGGGGCTCCTGACCCTGGCTTGGTCACCTGATCATATACATGCTCCCATGTGGACGATAGCTAGGAATCACTCAGGAGACAGAAGGTGTGTAGGTAGAGCACAGTTACTCACATAATTCTGTTAGCACTCCGACAAGGAATTCTTTGGGTTCTGCCTATATATTGGGTTTTAGCATATTGGAATAGCCGACAGAATTTGAATATGAACTATAAATCAGATAATATATTTATAAATATTAAATTTCCTGATTTTGATTATTGTACTAGAGCTGTGAAAGAATGCCCTTAGTTTAGTAAGCACGCAAGACAAAGGACTCAATGACGTCATGTATTCGCAAATGACTCCAACCACACAGAAGTTTTTATCTCTTCCACCTTATTCCCACCCTACCCCAATTCAGCTGACCAGCAGGACCAAATCAGCCCATCGCCCCTCTATATTTCTCCTGCCAATATTGGCTCAGGATTTAGTAGCTTTCTACCCTGAAGAACCCAATTATTTTCACTGTCACTGGTCTTTCCCCCTTTCTCTCATCAATCCTGCACATAGATGTCAAGTTAACCTTCCCAAAACGGAGACCATAAACTAGCTACTTTGGCCAAATGCACCAGATGCTATCCCTTGATAGGGGTTAGATCAGGGTGTTACCTGAGAAGGTGTATAGTATTCTGAACCGAAAATGGAGAGCGTTCATATAAAACTCTGGTTTTATGTCTTCCTTGGAAAAATAAGCCTGGCTCTTCTGGGCTGCCACTCTACATGGTAGCAATGGGTGGAGCTGAGTGGTGACTATCCTAACAGTGGACATATGTTTTTCAGTTCAACAGTCAACCACACCCTGTGCTCACTCCATTATGTGCCCACTTTTACTTCCTTATATATTGGTCAGGCCCTGCAGACATTTGCCTTTGCAACCCCACCCGCATAAGCTTTTTAAAAATTGTGTTATAAAAATCCATAAGATTTACCCTCCTAACAGACTTGATGTGTATAGAACAATATTATTAACTGTAAGCACAATTTTTACAAAGATTCTCTTGACCTTTCTCAAACTGAAACTGTGCTAACTTTAAAACAACTATTTCCTTTTCTCCAAGACTCTGACAACCACCATTCTATGCATCTGACTTCTTAAGATGCCTCATATAAGTGGAGTATGTAGTATTTGTCCTGGGACTGGCTGATCTTTATTTGGCATAAAGTTCTCAACGTCCCTGAGCACATTATAGCATACAATAGGGTTTCTTCTTCACGTGGCTGAACAGCGCATCTTTACCCTTTCATCTCTGAACTTTGAAAGTGTCTCCTGTTCTGGGCTATCGGAAATTTCTCTGCAGTGAACACAGGACTGCAACTCTCTCTTCAAGATCATCGTGATTTCCATTCTTTTAGATAATTACCCAGAAGTAAGGCTACTACTTCATGTGACGGTTAGATTTCTAAATACTTGAGAAACTTTCAAACTGCTTTCCAAAGTGGACGCACAATTTCACATTCGTACCAACAGTGACAGGGCTCCAATTTCCCCATATCTTTGCAAATATTTGTTTTCATTTTCCTTCCTTCCTTCCTTCCTTCCTTCCTTCCTTCCTTCCTCCCTCCCCCCTTCCTTCCTTCCATCTTTTTTCTTTCTTTTTTTAAGATAATGACCATCTTGTTAGATTTGCAGTTATATCTCACAGTGGCTTCAATTCACATTTCTTGATGATTAGAAATATTGAGCATGCGGCCAGCAAGATGGCTCAGCAGGTAAAGGCAGCTACTACCACTCCTGAAGACCCGGGTTCAATTCTGGGACTCACATGGTGAAAGGAAGGAACTGACTCCTGCAACATATCCTCTGACCTCCATAAATGCCATGGTACAGAAGTACACACACACACACACACACACACACACACACACACGCACACATGTCAATAAAATTCGAAAATAAAGACATTATCTTTTCATACATCTGGTGGTCATTTGTATATTTTCTCTTCCCTGGAGAAACGTCTCATCCTACATGTTGGTTTTTTGAGTCACAGGATTTCCTTATGTATTTGGATATTAAATCTTTGTCAAATATGCAGTTTGCAAATGTTCATCTCATTCTGTAGGTTGACTGTTTGCTGTGGAAAAGCATTTTGTTTGATGAAGTCCCACTTTTCTATTTTTGCTTGTTGTTGCTGTGTTCTAGTGATTTTATTTAAGAAGCCATTATTAAGGCTGATCTTATGAAAGTGCTCCTCTATGCTTTCTCCCAGGAGTGTTATAGTTTCACCTCTTACATTTAAGTCTTGGATACATTTTTAGTTGACTTTTGTTTATAATATAAAACTTTTTGCATGTGAACACTAATTTTCACACCCGTTTGGAGACTATCCTTTTCCCACGGTTTAGTTTTAGTTGTGTTAAACATCACTGGACTGCATAAGTGAGCTTATTTCTGTGTCCTCTATACTGTTCCATTAGTCTGGATGTCTATCATCATGTCAGTGCTCTACTGTTTTGATTAATATAGCTCTTTAATGTGTTTTGTGGTTAAAAAAAAAAACTTAAGACCTGTAGCTTTATTATTCCTTCTCCAGACTGTTTTGGTTATTCAGAGTTCTTTGTAGTTTCCTGTGAATTTTAAGATTGGTTTATCTATGTCTATAAAAATGCCATTGTGAATTTTATAAGGATTACAATTGCATTTGTAGTTTGCTTTGGGTGGTATGAACATTTTAACAATATGGTCTTCTAATTCATGAAGATGGGGTATCTTTCCATTTATTTGTATTTGTATTTATTTGTATTTGTAGTTCCTCTTCTTGGTTAAGTTTTATTCTTGGTGCCATTTTAAATGTGATTTTTTTTTTCATTTTCTTTTCAGATAGTTTTTCATTAGTGCTTAGAACCTCAACCAATTTTGCATGTTGTTTTTGCATTTTGTGATGATTTGAATAAGAAATGTCCCCTATAAGCTCACAGAGTTGAACACTTGGTCCCCGATTGGCACTATTTGAGGAGGTTTAAGAGATGCAGCCTTGCTGGAGGAAGTATGTCACTGGAAGCTTTGAGAGTTCATATCCTTGCCCCACTTCCAGTTTGCTCTCTGCTTCCTGTGGATGGATAGAGATGTGATCTCTTAGCTTCCTGCTCCTGCCTCCAATGCCTGTGCCTTGCTGCCATGCCTCACTGCCAGGAAGGATTCATCCCTCTGGAACTGTAAGCCAAAGTAAACTCCTCCTTCTGCAAATTGCTTTGGGTCATGGTACTTTTAAAAAATATATTTTATTATT